CTTGCATGGTTTCTGCTGAGAAATCAGAGCTTATTCTTACTGGCTTCCTTTGTAGGTAACTTTTTGTTTTTCCCATGCAGCTTTCAGGATTCTGTCTTTGTGTTTGGTTTTGATGAGTTTGATGATGATGTGTCTTGGTGATTTTCTTTTGGAGGTCTATCCTGTTTGGTGTTTGTTGGACTTCCTGAATGGATATATCCTCATCTTTCATCATTTCGAGGAAGTTCTCCTCCAGCAAATCTTGGACCATTTTCTCAGTGGTTTTGTTTTTCTCTTCCTGTTCTGGAATTCCAATGACATGTAAGTTATTCCTCTTGATGGTATCACACATGAAACTTCGGCTTTCTTTATTTTGTTTTATTTTTTTTCTGATTGATCCTTTTCCAAAGAAGTATTCAGGTATTTGTTTTCAATCTCCTTAATTCTGCCTTCCATTGCATCAATTCTACTCCTTTGCCCTTCCAATATGTTATCTATTTCTGACCATTTAGTATTAATCTTCTAGATTTCAATCTGTAGGTTTAGAATCATTTCTAATTTTTCATTTATTTTGTCATTTTGTTCTTGTATTTTCTTCCAAAATTCTTCTAAGGTTTTTTTCTGTTTTCTTTGGTCTCTCAATCTTTTGAAGATACCTAAAGATAATTCTTTGGAATTCCTTATCAGAGAATTCCAATGCTGCTTCTTCCTCAGGGATGTGTTCTGGGTCTGTATCCTGCTCCCTTGTTTCTACCACTTTATCCTGCTTCTTTGTGTTGACTGTGATGGTCTGTTGTTCCTGAGGCATCGTGGCATTATTGTATATAGATCTCTGTTTACTGTTTGTGAAGAGCAGTAAAGCATGATTCAGGCTCTTCTTGGTGGTTTTTTATCATTGGCCCATTGGTGAAGAAGGAGGTAGTGGCTCTTGCTCAGTAATTGAAGTTGCAGGAGGTGTGGGTGTATTTGTGTCTTATGGGCACTGTTGTTGTCTCCCACTCAGTTAGACACAAATTACAATTGAATAACCATCAAAAAACTAAAAGTCCGTGGATGAAAAACATACCATGTAGTCACACAGGAACAGTAACCAGAAAAGGAAAAAAGGGAAAAAAAGAAGATGAAACAAGAAAACTTGCAATATCTGGGGATAGGGCACTAAGAAAAAGAACGTAGGGAAGGAGAATAGTAAATGAAGAATAAAAATGGGAAAAATACAAAAAGAAAAACAAGGAATGGGGTTAATCACAAGAAAAAAGAGGGAAAAGAAAAGAAACAACAACCTTAAATTAGAAAAAAAATTCAACTTGGCACAGGGAAAAGAAAAAATGCTGAAAACTAGGACCTGGTAGGAGGGTAAGCATAAGAATAAAAAGGACAAAAGTATTAATAATATTGGTTGTTTTAAAACAGACAAATACAAGCAAACTAATTACCAGAAAAAAGAAATCGAAAAAGAGAAAAAATAAAAATAAAAAAAGGGAAAAAAAAAAAAAAATCAGTGGAGGATAGGGCAGGGCACCCAGGCTCCGTCTGAGCACACAGATTGTGATGGAGTTCCTGTGGGCGCAGAAGATAGTGATAGTGGGGGTGGCCACACCTCTATTCACTAAGCGGCTGTGGGGTATAAGAGTAACAAGAGGATTGTCGTACCTTTTCAGTCTTGCAGGTCCAAAGTGTCCTTGGGGTTGCTGGAAAGCAGAACGTGTTCTTAAGCCCCAGGAATCTGTGAAAGCTGTCTCTTTAAATATCCAAAATTGTCAAGCCACTTTTTAAACCTTCAAAATGGCGGCATCCTCTGGATCGGCAAAAGTCCACAGTTCAGCCCACCTTTCTCTTCACCTTCTCCGTTTGTTCCCCAGCCATCGTGCACAGTCCTCCGTGCAGTCCCTGGCTAGCAGGGTGATTTTTAGGTTAATTCTTAGGTCCTACCACCACTCACCACTCGGGAATCTCCAAGCTGTCTGTGCCATCAGGATCGCTCAGGATGGCTGCCAGACCGCAGCTCTGCATGTGTCCTTTTTATGGTATTTTCACGCAAATTCTTCTGCTAGTTGGGGTTTAGTCCACTTCTATATCCTTCCCTTCAAGGCTCGGGGGTCCAAGATTATCTTCTGTGTCTGTTTTAATTGGTTTCCCTTTTCTTTGTTGAAGAGTGTCTGTGCGGTCTTTCTGCCTAGTCCGCCATCTTCCCTGCACAATCTTCCATTTTTATGACTTTTAAGTGCACAGTATTAATTACCTTCACAATGTTGTGCAATCACCACTATCTATTTCCAAATTTTCATCCCAAAATAGAAAGTGTGTACCAATGAGGAAAAGGGTACAGCAACTTCCCATAACCTTCCACCATAAACCCTGGTAAACTTTAACCTCTTTTCTGTCTCTCTGCATTTACCTGGAGCTCTGGTAGCTTAGCACCTAAGGCACTTGACTGCTACCCAGAAGGCTGGCGGTTCAAACCCACCAGCTATTCCTCAGCAGGAAGGTTGGGCAATCTACTTCCCTAGTGATACTGCCTTGGAAACTCCAGGAGGGGTCGCTATGACTCAGGTCCAATTTGATGGCACATAACAACAACAACAACAACATGCATTTGCCTCTTCTAGATATTTCATAGAAGAGGAACCATACGGTATTTTTTCTTGTCTCTCTGGCTTCTGTCACTCATAATGTCTCAAGTTTCAGCTATATTGTAGTAGTATCAGAGCTTCATTTCTCTTTCTGGTGAATAATATTCTATTTATGTACACCACATTTTATTTATCTATGTGTCTTTTAATGAACATTTGTATTGTTTTCGCCTTTTGACTATTGTGAGTCATGCTTCTATGAACACCACCCACTATTATCTATCTGAGTCTCTGCTTTCAAGTCTCCTGGGTATATACTTAGGTATGAAATTGCCAGATTATAGGACAGTTCTATGCCTAATGTTTTGAGGAATTACCAAACTGTTTTCCACTGTGACTTCATCATTTTACATTGCCACCAGTAAACCAGTAAATGCACAAGGGTTCCAATTTCTTGACATTCTTACCAACACTATTATTTTCCTTTTTCTTCTGATAGCCCTGTAATATATCTCATTATTGACCTAACACCGTTACCTCAAAATTAAACTGACCTTTTAAACTCATGTTTCTTCTTTCCAGCCTTTATTAACACCATCTTCAGGGACCTCATGCCAAAATCATAGTGATCCTATCAAACATTAAAATATTTGAGTTATTAACAATTCTGAAGGAAAAATGCAACAATTTGGAAACAAATAGTTTAACATGTAGTTATATCACTGATCATCTATAAAATAGTGATATGAGTTTAAGAAACACCTATTTCTACTTCTAATGCTTTCACTTCCCTTCCAAAACTGGTGCTCCTATGAGTCTCCGTCTTAAAAGACTGAAAAGTACTGAAGTAAGCTGTTAAAGGTTATCAGTATCTGACTGAGATTTTTTTTGGCATGGAAAGAGATGACTTGAAAGAATACTTAAGAGACAAGCACTTTGGAGATAACATATTTATCTGTCCAGACCATTTTGAGTTAGAAACATGCATTAAGCTGTCATATTCTAGAACAGTAATTCTCAAAGTGTGGTACTCAGATCATCAGCAACAGAAACACCTAAGAAGTTGTTAGAAATGCAAATTCTTGAGCCCCATTCAAGACCTATATAATTAGAAACTCTAGGGGTGAGGTCTAGCAATTTGTGTTTTTAAGTCTTCCTAATTTTTCTGATCAGCTCTTTTAGCTGGTTCAAACAGGTTCAATTATGGCTGACACAGTGCAATCAGAACAGACCCAAACATGAAAAATGTGGGTGTACTGGAAAGATAACCAGAACAGGAAAAATTACAGGTTGAAGCCCTAGAATGGGAGACTTGAAAGAGACACAGCCCTTTCAGGAGCCTTTTGTGGGAAGCTGGATTATTATTGCAAGGACTGTGGAGAGTGACCCATATTCAAAGCAGCACAGCTGCCATCTAGAGAAGGACATCACTATTTCTAACTCTGCCAATTAAGAGATTTGGTTGCTGTGCAATGTGCTTGCTGCCCTTGTTTTCTAAGAGGAAGTTTAAATTTCTAGCAAGGTACAGATTCATAATTTTTCCCACTCCAGTTATCATTCTACTACACTCACATTTTAAAATTTTTGGTCCATTCTGGCATCCCTTTGTTGGCCATGACTGAATCAGGAAGAACCAGTTTGAAGCCCTGATTCTGATTCATAATAAAGTTTGAGAACCAATGCTCTACATGTTAAACCTCTTTGCTTACAAGAAAGTCATCTATATTGTAAAATAACAGATACTTGTACTTTCTCCAGGTTTTGGAGGAATGACTTGAAACTTAAAACAAACAAACAAACAAACAAAAAGCTCAGTCCCTTTGAGTTGATTCTTATTGTTACCAACCGTTTAGGACAGAGTAGGATTGCCCCATAGTGTTTCCAAGGCTATAAATCCTCACAGAACCAGGCTGCCTCACCTTTCTGTCATGGAATGGTTGGTAGGTTCGAACTGCCAACCTTCTGGTTAGCAGCTGAATGTAGTTACCCACCACAGCTCTTTTGAAACATTGTTTCATAACCCCCCAAAATCAGCTGCTGCCTAGTCGATTCCAACTCATGGAGACCCTGTTTGTCTATATTTTTTTTTTTTTACAAGTAGATCTCCAGATCTTTCTTCCAAGGTGCCGCTGGGTGGACTAAATCCTCTAACTTTGGTTACCAGCCTATCTTGTTAACCATTTGTACTACCCAGGGACTCATTTACATATTGACTACATAATGCCTTACACCCAAGTTGGTATATGGACTTGATTTGTGGATAGAATTCTAGCACCTTTACTTTTCCTGGTCATTCTTATACCAACACAATACATTATAAACAGAAAATCCTTATTTAAAGTTATTTTTATGTAATCACTTTGAAATAGTTTGGGAAAAGCTGTTCTTTACCTGTTGTGAGAGATGTTTGCTAGCTAATTCATAAATGCTAGCTAGCTTCCTAGAGAGTGTTTTTGAAGATTTGAAGCCAATTGAAAGCAGAATTATTTCAATAATCATTTGATAATGGGGCACAATCATTGCCACTGGGCGAAACAGATATTTCAAGTTATCTGGGAGTTCTACTTGACCTTTGGATCTTCACAGGATAAGAAAAACAAACACAGAGACAGAAAAATATCACTTTTAAGTTTTGCAAATGAGGAACCACGTGATATAATTTCCTCCAAAATAATTCTATAGCTTCTTATGTGATCTTTATCTGGAAACAATAAGTTTACAAGATAGTTTCTATTGCACCTTGAAACTCATAGAACTTTCTGGTTTATCATTCTTTCTTCCTGTTCCCTCTTCCCACAATTCATTTCCTTTGATTACCTGAACTAACACAACAATCAATCAATAGATATTCATTGAACCTGTCCAGCTTTCACTCCCTGTAACCACCATATCCTCATTCCTCCCATCACTCTCATCAGCTTTTCTGCCTGTGTCCTCTTTGTGACAAATGACAAACCTTTTCCTTTCTTTGGCTATTCATGAAGAGACCTCTTGTTCAGAAGCTTCATGTGAGAGCATCCGTATGGATAAGTGTAGAGTTGTAGCAGTCTATAAATTGTGTGGGTAGCAGAGGTATTTAGAGAGGGAGTGAAGGGTGAATGATAGATATACATTGTCAGGCAACTCCATCTGTGGGTACGAATTAAGAAAAGATTTTGGCCTACGTCCAGTCCTACCACAGATTCACTGATACTTACCCAGGATTCATGGTGATAAATATCGCACAAGACATATTGATACGAATTTCTTTTCCTTCCAGTACAAACCTATAATACATTACAATATACATCACAAAAAGAACTACTTCCTTTAGGTCAAAGTATCTTAAAACTACAAGTGAGTTTGGCAACTTTCCTAAGGCTGTGTTACATTTAAGCCTAAATAGAGCAAACTGGAAAAACACAATGGTAAGAAAAAGGGGAAAAGAAGAAGCTCACCTTGAGTTGAAGTTTTGAGCCTTGTTGAAATTCATGTCTGAAGAATATTATGGGGACTAATGCTGGAATGAGGAGCTCTGGTGGCATAGTGCCTAAGGCATTTGACTGCTAACCAGAAGGCCAGGGATTCAAACCCACCAGCCACTCCTTGGAAGGAAGATTGGGCAATCTATTTCCATAGAAATGGAAACCCAAGGAGGGGTCACTCTGAGTTGATCTGACTTGATGGCAGTGATTTTTTTTTATTAGTTTAATGCTGAAATGTATCCATCTGAATGAATTGATTTGCACAGGGAAAAAAAAAGCCTGAGGGGACACTTGGGGCATAAAATAGCTTTGCCTGGATCACATAGCAGTGCACAGCACAGAGTTATTACTTCAACAGGGAAAACAGTCCCCTAGTACTTCAAGTTAAATAATTTTGGGAATACTGATAGACAGAACCTTTGGCATGAACATCAGCATCCTATAGTTGGTACCAGTTGTAGAGACCAAAATCAAACCCACTTCTGTCAAGTTGATTCCAACTCAAAGCCACCCTGAAGAATAGAGTAGAACTTCCGTACAGAGTTTCCAAGGCTGTAAATTGTTATAGAATTAGACTGCTTCATCCTTCTCCCACGGAATGAGCAGCTCATAGGTTTGAACCACTGACCTTTCAGTTAGCAGCTAAGCACTTTAACCTCTGTGCCACTAGGCCCCTTTGGTAGAGGCCATGGAGAGAAATCCAGTGATTTCTTGGACAGCTGATATCAATGAGAATGGTCAAAACAAGAGAGGAAGAAAAATTGGACAAAAGCCTGGGAACTCCATGCACATAACTGCAGAAAACTTTACAGAAGCTAAAGTGTGGAGAAGAGTTAGAGAAATGTATGTTTCTGTGACCTCCTGTACACCCAGACTTCTGAGACAGGCTATAACAGTTAGGACAAATTCCATGAAAATAAACCCAGAGTGAGTGTCCATTCCAAGGCTTTATACAAGTCTGAACTAGTTTAGTCACGGTTGACAAAGCAAATCAGAACAGACCCAAAATTTTAAAATTTGGGTGAAGTAGAATGACAACTTGAACAGGAAAAATTGTAGGTTGAAAGGATGCAGAAGAGGCATGTTGTTGTTGTTGTTGTTATGTGCCTTCGTGTTGGACCTGACTCATAGAGACCCCTCCTTGGGTTACCGAGGCGGTATCACTATGGAAGTAGATTGCCCAACCTTCCTTCCGAGAAGTGGCTAGTGGGTTTGAACCACTAGCCTTCTGGTTAGCAGTCAAGTGCCTTAGGCACTATGCTATCAGGGCTCCCAGAAGAGGCATGTTGTTGTTATGTGCCATCCAGTCGGACCCAACTCACAGTGACCCCTACTTGGGTTTCCGAGACAGTATCACTACGGAAGTAGATTGCCCCATCTTCCTTCCGAGGAGTGGTTGGTGGGTTTGAACCACCAGCCTTCTGGTTAGCAGTCAAGTGCCTTAGGCACTACTCTACCAGAGCTCCTAGAAGAGGCATAGTGAGCCTTTATAGTGAGCCTTTATAGGAGTTTGATTCTTTTGTTATAGAATTAGTTATTGCTAGGACTGTGGAGAGTGACAAACATTTATAGTAGTGCTGTAAGCCACGGTCTTTGAGCGAGGCTACACTGTTTCTGACTGTGCCTGTCAAGGGATTTGGTTGCTATGTAAAGCACAGCTGCACTTGTTTCCTAAGAGGGAGATTAAGTTTCTAGCAGGGCATCAATTTACAATTTTTCCCATTCTGTTTATCAAACTGGTTCATCCATATTTTATAAACCCAGGTGCCTTTTGGTTTTGCTTTGTCAGCCATGACTGAACTGGGATGAAGCAGTTCAAAGAACTGCAGTTAGCATAAACATCAAGTTAGAAATATTAGATTTTAATAGAATTTAGAGATACATATACACTTATGCTTATCAAGTAAATCACGTGAGTTCCTGAGTTTATCTGAAGAGGAAACATCTTTGCTTTCATTCTACTTCCGTAGTGATAATGCCTCGGAAACCCAAGGAGGGGTCGCTATGAGTTGAGTCTGACTTGATGGCACATAACAACAACAACAACAACATTAAAAATCTTAACATAAAGATATTATTATTGCAGGGCTCTTCAATAAAAAGCACATTAATGAGAGTAATCAGGCAGAAGGGGCTTCAGGTATGTGGCCAGTAAGATTTTGTGTTTTTTGAAAGGACACAATGTAGTATTAAAGAAAGAGAACTTTGGTTTCTTCAAATATAATACAATATTGCATATGAAGAAATATTTAACTAGAATTAATTAAAGAGTAAATGTAGGTCAGATTTCCACTCGAAAGGTATAAACATAATAACAAATACCTGACAGAATAGCTGTCTTTTGCTTTCTTAATTGTTAGGATCTGTGAGGTTATGACAGAGAGAACTTCCACATCAATTCTATTGAATTCATCAAAACAACACCATGCTCCTGACTGAACTAGTCCAAATAGGAATTTTCTCATTATCTTAAAAAAAAAAAAAAAAAAAGAACTACAGAAATTATTATAAAGGTGAGAAAATTTTCTGGGATAATAACCTGTGCACATTTTTTTCACCTTACCCAAACTAAGCAAACATCTTTTGCATTTCCATACCTCAGGTACTTCTGTAAAGGCTGAAAGCAGCAGCTGCTTAGCATCTAAACTAGTCGACTACTTTGCCTGTCTTTTTTAAGAGCAGTAGCAAACTGATTCTCACAGAGGCCATGTACACAAGGTAAGGATTACAACTACACAAGGTGGATGCCATCCCTGTAGGTGCCATTTACCTCACACAGCTGTACTCTAGAGTAAGGAGTGTGTATGACAATTTTCTGGCAGATGGCCTTAAAGTTTCTGAAAGTGTGAGAGACTTTTTCTAGACTCCTTATGTCTCAGTGGTGGGCTGCTGCTGGATAATGGAGATGAATAAACTAGGCCCAGTTTAAGACAAGAGGTAGATCTGGAACAGACACAAGTGCTCAGTTTCAGCTAGTCTCGGGAGGCAAGACTCTTCAAGTGTTCTGTGAGAGCCTGGAAGTCTGCTATGTAACCTATTGATTTCTAAATGTTAGAAATTGAAACTAACAAAAACATTGTCAAGCCAAACAATATCTGTGGGCTGAATACTGGTTAAGAAGATTTTGCTCTATGTTGCAGAGAGGGAAGGAAAAGAGGATGAAAGAGAGTATGAGCACTTCAGACTGGGAGGGTACAGAAGATGGTTCCTCTCACTGGGCAGCAAAATTGCATTAAAATATTATTTTTCTTGATTACCTTACTTTACCCTGGTCCCAGTCCTGCTGGGCCCGAATACAGGATAGTTTGCAGGAAGATGACAACAGACTCTGTGAGGTAAGTGTCTTAAAAATAATAATTGCATTTGCTTATTTATTGATATTTTTATGTGCTAAGTGAGCACTGTAGAAATTCAGGATTTCAGAGGATTCCAGATGAAATAACAGCAATAAAATGTAAATAATTTGGATTTAACATGCAAAACAAAATAAATTGTAGTATTTTGAAACTTTGAATAAATTTCTAAGAGGCACAGAGGTACATGAAATTTTAATAACTGATTTAAATATTTCATAATGTCATGATATATGTTTAAGATACCATGCAGCCAAAACAAAACAAGGCTGACAAAATTGCCATCATCATCTACATGAACTCTTGACTTAAATTTTTGTGTTAATCATAATACTGTCATTATTCTTAATGATTATCTTTTAATAAATAAATGTATAAGATTGGAACTTATAATCAAAATTATATTAATAAAAAATGCCCGCAATAGTTTATATATTAATGCTTCATATAAAATTTTGTTTGAAAGGAATCCCACTACCAAAAAGTTTGAAAACCAATGTCTTAAGAAGTAGTTAGTTCACGTGAACTAAAAACAAACTATAATTTTCAAATTTCTGTCACATTCTATTATATTCTACTCTTTTAAAGAAGTTAATAGTTCCATTAATACATACTGTTTTCTAAGGTAAATATTTTTCTTCTTTCATTCCTCAATGAATTATTTTTATTATGTCTACAATATTTTCTAATGTGTATCTATGATTAACTTTTACCTTATAATCCAAATTCTCAAAACAGTTGAAGACCACACAGTGTTTTCCTAAGGCCTGGGAAAAAAAAAATATTATTTTAGTATATTTATTGAATTATAACAAAAATAATAATTTAGAAACTACTAGAAGAATATCTTTATTCTTTTGAGAAAAACTTTGCAATTAAAAGATGAATTAGATACCGAAGTTATAGATTAAAAAAACTAAATATAATATAAATATATTTATACTAATATAGTTTAATTGATTAGTACATGGCATATTTAAGTTTACAGATTTACATAAATCAAATAATAAAGAAAAAAGGTAATTGTATTATTTGCTTTCATATGTTGTTTCTTTCTCACACACACATTGTTATTAATCACAAAGCCTAAACAAGTCTGTATATGAGGCTCAATATTAATCACCTCTACTGGAATTGGGAGAGGGTACAAAACTGTCATCCACATATCAATAGTTGTTGTTAGGTGACATAGAGTCAACTCCAACTCATAGTGACACTATGTACAACAGAATGAAACAGTGTCCAGTCCTGTGCCAGCCTCACAGTCCTTGCTATACAAGAGCCCATCATTGTAGCTACTGTATCAATCCATCGCCTTGAGGGCCTTCCCCTTTTTGCTGACCCTCCACTTTACCAAGCATGCTATCCTTCTCCAGGTAATGGTCCCTTCTGACAACATGACCATAATAGGTCAAACGAAGTCTGGCTATTCTTGCTTCCAAGGAGCATTCCAGCCGCATGCACTTCTTCCAGGACAAGTGCAGGAATAATTTCAGTATTCTTTGCCAACACCGCAACTCAAAAGAATCAACTCTTCAGTCTTCCTTATTCATTGTCCAGCTTTCACATGCATGTGAGGCAATTGAAAATACCATGGCTTGGGTTAGGCACACATTAGTCTTCAAGAAGGAGCTCTGGTAGCATAGTGCCTAAGGCACTTGACTGCTAACCAGAAGGCTGGCAGTTCAAACCCCCAGCCACTCTTCGGAAAGAAGGTTGGGCAATCTACTTCCATAGTGATACTGCCTCAGAAACCCAAGGAAGGGTCTCTATGAGTCAGGTCCAACTCGATGGCACATAACAACAACAACAACATAATCTTCAAGGAGACATCTTTGCTCTTCAGCACTTTAAAGAGGTCTTTTGCAGCAGATTTGCCCAGTGCAATTGGACATCTGATTTCTTTATTGCAGTTTCCATTGGTGTTGATTGTGGAACCAAGTAATATGGTATCTTTGAAAACTTCAGTCTTCTCTCCATTTATCATTATGCTGCTTATTGGTCCAGTTATGAGGATTTTCGTTTCTTTATGTTGAGATGTAATCCATATTGCAGACTTTAGTCCTTAATCTTCACCAGTAAGTGATTCAAGTCATCTTCACTTTCAGCAAGCAAAGTTGTGTTGTCTGCATATAGCAGGTTATTAATGAGTTTTCCTCCAATCCTGATGCCACACTCTTCTTTGTATAATCCAGCTTCTTGGATTATTTGCTCAGCATACAGATTGAATAAGTACGGTGTAAGGATACTACCCTGACACACTCCCTTTCTGATTTTAAACCATGCAGTATCCCCTTGTTCTGTTCAAACAACAGCTTCCTGGTCTGTATACAGGTTCCTGATGAGCACAATTAAGTATTCTGGAATCCCTTTACTTCTCAATGATACCCATAATTTGTTATGATCCACACAATTGAATGCTTTTGCATAGTCAATAAAACACAAGTAAACATCTCTCTGGTATTCTTTGCCTTCAACCAAGATCCATCTAACATCAGCCATGTTAGCCCTCATTCCACATCCTGTACTGATTCCAGCTTGCATTTCTGTAAGTTCCCTGTCCATATAGTGCTACAACCATTTTTGAATTATCTTCAGTAAGATTTTATTTGGATGTGATATTAATGATACTGTTCGATAGTTACCACATTCTGTGGGATCACCTTTGGAATGGATACTAATATGGATCTCTTCCAGTCATTTGGCCAGGTAGCTGTCTTCCAAATTTCTTGGCATAGGTGAGTGAGTGTCTCCAGCACAGCATCCGTTTGTTGAAACATCTCAATGGGTATTCCAACAACTCCTGGAGTCTTGTTTTTTTGCCAGCTTCTTCAGTGCAGCTTTGACTTCTTCCTTCAGTACCATTGGTTCTTGATCATATGCCACCTCCTGAAATGGATGAACATTGACCAAGTCTTTTTGGTACAGTGGCTCTAAGCATTCCTTCCATCTTCTTTTAATACTTCCTGCATCATTCAATATTTTGCCCATAAAACTTTTCAGTACTGCAAATTGAGGCTTGAATATTTTCTTCAGTTCTTTCAACTTGAAAATACCAAGCATGTTCTTCCCTTTTGGTTTTCTAACTCCAGACCCTTGCATGTCTTATTATAATACTTTATTTGTCTTCTGAGCTGCTCTTTGAAATCTTCTGTTCAGCTCTTCTATCTTGTCATTTCTTCCATTTTCTTTAGTTACTCTCTGGTAGCATAGTGCCTAAGGCACTGGATTGCTAACCAGAAGGTTGGAAGTTCAAACCCACCAGCTACTCCTTGGAAAGAAGGTTGGGCAATCTACTTCCATAGTGATACCGCCTTGGAAACCCAAGGAGGGGTCGCTATGAGTCGGGGCTGACTCGATGGCAGATAACAACAACAACAACAACAACTCTCCATTCAAGAGCAAGTTTCAAAGTCTCTTCTTATATCCATTTTAATCTTTTCTTCCTTTCCTGTCTTTTTAATGACCTTTTGCTTTTTTTGTGGGTGATGTTCTTGATGTCATCCCACAGTTCCTCTGGTTTTCAGTCTTTGGTGTTCAATGTGTCAAATCTATTCTTTAGATAGTCTCTAAATTCAGGAGGGATATAATCAAGGTCATAATTTGGCTCTTGTGGACTTGTTTTAATTGTCTTCAGCTTCAGCTTGAACTTGCATACGAGCAATTGATAGTCTCTTCCACAATCAGCTCCTGGCCATGTTTTGGCTGAAGATATTGAGCTTCTCCATTGCTCTTCCACAGATGTAGTGATCTCATTCATGTGTATTCCATCTGGCAAAGTCCACGTGTATAGTTGCTGTTTATGTTGTTCAAAAAAAGGCATTTGCAATGAATAAGTTGCAATGGCCAAATGGTCTTGTGAGATTCTATTATGCAATCTCCAGTATAATTTCCATCACCAAAGCCATATTTTGCAACTACTGGTGACTCTTCTTTGCTTCCAAATTTTGCATTCTAGTCACTAGTAATAATCAGCATATCTTGATTGCATGTTTGGTCAATTCAGACTACAGAAGTAGGTAAAAATCTTTAATTTCCTCATCTTTGGCTTTGGCAGTTAGTGTGTAAATTTGAATAATAGTAGTTAACTTGTCTTCCTTGTAAGCATATGGATATTTTCCTATCACTGGTAGCATTATACTTCAGGACCGATCCTGAAATACTGTTTTTTTTTCCTTTTTATCATGATTTGGGTGAAAATTTACAGAACAAATTCACTTTCCATACACTTTGTCTCATGACATTTACTCCAATTTACCACAATGCAACAGCTCCTTTCCCACTTCCTCCCAATAATTACCTCTTCCTATTGTCCAACCCTCCATGCCCTCCTGCCCCCTGAGATGTCTCCCTGTGCATAAACAGCCCTTTTTTCTCCCGTGATTGTTCTCTCCAAGGAGTGTATCTACCTCAGGTAAATGTTCAACTCATATGCCTGTCTTGTGTTTGGCTGGAAGCCACAGGTATGGGTTCAGTTCCAGACCTGAAGGACAGCTAGGGACCATAGTCTCAGTGGTTCCACCAGGCTCTATCAAACCAGCAAATCTGGTCCCCTCCCTTTTTTTTCCCCAAATGATTTTGAGTTTTTTCCTACATTGTTCTCCCTCTCTATCCAGGATCTCCTATATAGATCCCCCTCCAAGTGGTTGACAGTGGTAGCTGGGCATCATCTAGCTCTTCTGGTCTCATAGTCATATAGGCTGTGGATTGCATAGTGTACCAGTCACTAGGACTAATTAATTGTTTCCATAAATCTTTGGTTTTCTTCATCCTTCTTTGCTCTGGATGAAGAGAGACTCATCGTTGCATTTAGATGGCTGCTTGCAAGCTTTTAGGATCTCAGTCACTAAACCCATAGTAGGAGGTGGAACAATGTTTTGTGTAATATGTTATGCCAATTGAACTTGATGCCCCCTGTGACTATGATCCCGAGCCCACAGGTTCAACTACTCTGTCCCTCTGGGTAGCTGGCTGTGACCAAGAAGTGACCACAACCTTTTTTTCCCTTGTAAGCTCTACTATACACCTGGGAATTCTTACAGATCATACAAATACACTTCTAGGACCATTGTCTGCCAACCCTATACATGGTCTTAGATACACTCCCCGCTGCATAGACATACCTAATAGTTCAGCCTGTCCACCCACCTATTCACCCGTATACCCATGTTTGCCTTCACTGACAATGCAGTGCTGTATGTGCAAAAGGGTTCATCTTTGTTTTCTGTACCTCACATGTACCTTGCTATGTCTTCCTCTTCCTCAATGCCACTATGTTGATCACTCACATTTGGTACATTGCCCTTCTCTTCACCCAAATAAATACCTATCTAACAGTGTTCCCTCCTCTCCCCTCCCACCCCTGGTAACTAACAAAAAAAAATTTCCTTCCATAGATAAACCTTTCCTTGAGTTTTACTATAATGGACTAATACAATATTTGTCCTTCTGTGATTGACTTATTTCATTCAGCATAATGTCCTCCAAGTTCATCCATGTTATACGGTGTTTTGCAGATTCTAGGTTATTCTTTAGGGTTGCATAGTATTCCATTGTGTGTATGTACCATAGTTTGGTTATCCATTCCTCACTTGATGGACACCTAGGTTGTTTCCATCTGTTGGCTATTGTAAACAGTGCTGTGATGAACATGGGTGTACATATGTCTGTTCTTGTTATGGCTTTCATTTCTTTAGGATATATACCTAGTAATGGAATGGCTGGGTCAAATGGTATTTCTAATTCTAACTTTTTAAGGAATCACCAT